ACGGTTACTAAAACCCTAACCCCAGGGTTGGCATTTTCGAAGTATCCGGGACTCCGTTTTACGATCCATCAAATCCTACACGATCCTAGTAATACCTAGATCAACATATTATAACTTCAGGACCATCTAACGGTCCAAACCTAGCGAACCCAAAAAATACGCTATATGCGATATCCGTTCAGGACTCCAACGGTACCCAAAATGAGATCTGAGCACACCTACGTGCTCGTGACATCGAGAGGATCACAGTGGGACAAAAATGCCCCTCAACTACAGTGCCAACCCGCCGCCACAAGCGCCGACAGCACGTAGGTGTCCAAAGCGATATCGCATCGCTGGAAAACTTCCAAATCGAGAGCCAAGATTCCTACCCTAGGTAATACACCTAATTTGGAGTCACTTTTGTTCTTGGGCATACCCCAAAAACTAACCGGAAGTGGCCGGAATCGGAGGCCGAAAATCGGCTAAACTTCCCTCTCTTAATCGATCTCCAAAACGCAGAAATCTCCCGAATCTAACCCAATAGGCAGTAAGAACAGCTTGAGAGGTTCAAGATCCATACCTGGATCGTTGGAAATGGTGGCCGGACGACGACGAACGGAGCCGACGAAGTTTCTATCAAAACCGGCGCGATACCGAGCTTTTTCCGGCGGATTCCGGCGGTTGCTGCCGTCAGGGATGGTTGGGAAAGGTTGCTGGGGTGACGGCGGTTCAAAACCGACCGGTCTGGTGGCCGGTGGTGCACCGTGGCGGCGGCGGTGGCCAAAGCGAGCCGTCGGTGAACAGTACCGCGGGGGGTTGTCGCGCGAAGGAGAAGACCGGAGAGAGAGAGAGAGAGAGATGAGGGCAGTTCCGTCTTTTTATCAAAAATCCATTTTTCAAATATTTACGATCGTGCCACTGAGCTTCATTCGATCGTAACTCTCTCGTTACAACTCCGATTCGAGCCCACTACGTGTCCACGGATTCATCTCACCGTGCTCTACGCAATGGTATAATCGGAATTCCCAAATTCCTTCCGAATAAGAAAATGACTAAAATACCCCTATCCCATGGGTAAATTCTTAATTTCACTCAAATTAATTAAAACATAGGATAAATTTGGAGTCGGGGTGTTACACTATAGCTGTCACTTTGACAAATAAAGAGAATTTTGAGAGCCTTTCTTCTCTGTATTTCTTCCTTCTTTGTGAAGTCTAGGTTTTCATTATGAGATTTTGAAAATTGGTTTTTAAAATCTACTTTGATATTTAAAATCCTTTTCACTCACTCATTCATTATTTTTGAGAGAGAGAAAGAGAGTCTTCTTCTTATTCTCCTCTACAAATGTTGAGATGAGTGAGGTATGAGGTTTCCAACATGAGATTTTCAAATCTGCTTTGTTCTTCAAAATTTGCATCTAGGATAGTTAAACACATTCTCATTCATATCTAGATCATATTCTTGGATTAGTTTCTTCAAGAATGGTTTCTTGAAGAAATCGATCTTTTATTCCTTGAATCTCCATGTTCATCGATTTGTCAATTTGGAGCTGAGTTGCAATGTCATGGGGTGGATAAGCTGATGGACTAGTTACAGGACAAGCTGCTAGCTCAACTAAGTTTGGAGAAGAAGGTTGCACATAGAGGTAGTGCTTATTTCCTAAATAGACCTAGGGTTGCTTGAGCTTGTGATTACTTTCTCTGTAAGAACCTTATTGACTTAGTAGATTGCCTGGTCGAAGTGATGACCCCTAGTTTTTCCCAATTGTGGGTTTCTGGGTAAACATTTCTGATGTGATTCTCTAATTTATATGCCTAGTCATACTGTACTTGTTATATCTGAAATGTTGATGAATGTTCACACACCTATCACTCTAGTTGTTGCTAGCACAGAGGATGCTTAGATTGACAAGTCTTTCTGAGTGCCTAGATTGTCACGTAGTTATCTTCTAGGCTTACAGGGATTTGAATATTTGATATGTTGTGCATCTATGTTATTCTTATATGTTCATAGGTTTATGACCAGTTGTTGACTAGTCATATTGTCTCCAGGTTTATATGATCATTGTTGTCATACATCTGTCCATTGGGATTTTAATTTACCCCGTTCAACTATAAGTACCAATTTCAGTTGCATATTCTACTCCTCCATGTATTCACCAAATTCTCTGTAAGATATAAAATTTTCTTTATTAGCATAAAACTTGATCAATGAATCAATTTTTATAAAAGGCTTGGAGTTCTCTCAACCAAAAAAAAAAGAAAAAAAACAAACACAAGGAACGCAGATATGGTGGTGGGGATGTGAAGAATCTCTCAAAAAGGGACTCTTTCTTCTTCTTCTTCTTTAAAAAAAAAAAACAAAAACAAAAACAAAATCTCCTTGTTTGACCAAAAAAAGAAGCAAAATCTCCTTATTGCTAAAGGAACTCCTTTGCCATCTATTACGATTTTTTTCCCTTGGTCTAAAACGACGTCATTTTGGCTAGAGATTTATTTTATAAAAAAAATTACAAACGTGTAGCAAAGGATTAAGGTTCAAAGAGGATTTTTGTTGACTAGGTGTCATACGCAGCAGCCTGATTGAAGGGGCAACATTTCGACACCTGCAACACTTTCTCCAACTAGAGGAGGTATAATTGCACCTCCTTGTGCCTCTGTAGATCCGCCTATACTTGTGACTAATGTCTATTGATGGCAGCCAAAGGAAGAAGAAGATAGAAGGGATGGCATTAGGGGTGGTGTGGGGGAGGCGTTGAGTTGGGTTGCTAGGACATTTTCTTTTTTCTTAAGTTTTTTAATTTTTCTAATTTTATTTTAATGGATATCAATAAAGTCCAGCTGTAAAAAGGAATAATTATTTTCTTTCTAAAATGACACATGACATATTTTAAGTGGAAATATCACCATTGTATTATATTCTCTCATTTCTTACTTCAATAATTCCTAGAAAGTAAACATGACCTCGGCTTGCAAAGAGAATTTGTTTTTTTTCCAGAAACGATAACTTGATATTAATCATCAAAATTAATGTTTACAGCCTTCTGACGTGATAGAAGCATCCAAAGCAGAGGCAAAGAGTCCAAATTACATGCACTAGAAAACTTAGAAGCATAATTGGCCTTCAAATGAGTAGCTTTTACAAGTGCGAGGAACGAAAGAAAAATAAAATATAAATGAACTGCTGAATTCAGATTCGAATGTCATAAAAAATCCCTTCCCCACACTGGCATCAGGACTGCTGCCCTCTCTGAGAGCATCGATCAAAACCTTTGAATCAGACTCCAGCGCAACCTGTTACCAACCTTGCTTGCAGGGGAAATTAGAAGCATGACGATCACTGATCTGAAATGAATTGGAGAAGCATAATTATTTCAAATACAATGGGAAAATGCTAAATTATATAATGGCATGTTTACTTATAAGTTACAAGTAATGGAAATAAGAAAAAATAAAATTTTTTGTTTTTATATTTTTATACAAGTGATATTGTAATTTAATCTAATTTAAACTACAAGAAAGATGATTCAAACTCAAGTGCAAAGTAAATAGAGTACATCTCATCTAGTCAACTTGACTAAGCACGTATATGCATATAATATTTTGCTTTACATAACACACACAGTGAAAAAGATTCCAGGGTTGGAGGCAATCAATATTAAATTAAATCAACCTGTAGGCCCCTTTGCTGCCGACCCTGCCCTATGAACTATCACTCAAGGGCATGTAATATAAATTGGCCAAACCATTTAAACATAAACTATTAAGTTATAAGTCTAGTCTGTTCCCAGCAACGTGTGGGTCGATGCATCCAACAAATTATTGGCATATTCAAAGTATTAAACCTTGTCAGTTGTTCTATATATACATTAGGCCAAAGAACCTTTACAGGATAACCTCTTTCTCTTGGTTTATTAGACAAATAGTAAAGCAGTTATTTTTTAACATCTTTTTCAGTAGTACATAATTTTTTTGAAAGATCTTAGGTTTCAGTGACCAGTGTTGAGTGTTCAATAAAATAAAATAAACTATTGATTTAGAAAATGAAAAAAATAATTAAATTCTTAATCAGTAAATGACTCATGAGAGAGTAAGGAGTGTGACTAGGTAATTATAATATCAAACCCCAAAAGAGGGTAATATTATAATATATTACTGTGACTTGAACACCTAACTTCTATATCACAAAGAAGATTAAGTGCTAACTAGATATTAAGAATATATATATATATAAATATTCTCTGTTTCTAATGTCCGCATGTTATTATCGTGCGGATGCCATTGTAAACAAGAAGGAAAGCGGGGAGGGATAGCAGAATATATATGATGTCCGCACGATAATAATGTCCGGACGTCTGCATAGAGCTTCCGTTGAGGGATTCTCAAATACTTTTATTTGAAGGACACCCTTATAGGGCCCATTTTGCATCTAATCCAAACTCAAAACTTGCTTAACCAAAGGGGCAAACTCCTTGTGGGAGGTCTAGAAATTAAAATTTTGAAGGGCTTCTTCCTTGTGACCAACTTTTGCCTGTTTGTTTTGCAGATATTCATTCAAAGATCATCTCCACAAAAAATCATTTGAATTCAATATCATTTGACCACTCAATTAAATTATCGAAATTTAAGTATTTTTTTGAATCATCGTATTCATTGATTTTATTGGTCTCAGTTAGATGCCTTAATGATTTTCAATTTACATAATGTTTTGCAAGGATGATATCTATGAATGAAAATTTGGAAAATTGATGGTTTGGATTGGATAGTTGAAAAAAATTTCGTAGGAAAAACCAAAAATAAACTGTTTTCAGTTGTTGCTGATCCACATGGTTTCTTAATTGTTAACAAATATGCTACACGCAATATCAATTTCCTGCAGCTATAAACATGATTTGAAAGATTTAAAACAAAAGAAGCTATCAACAGAAATTAAAAGTTCAATTTGACAAACTATAAATTTGAAAAGGAAATTGATCAACATGATGACCACTCTCTTGAATTCCCTCTGCGAGTTTTACTCTACGTCCTTTGGTTCTTGGACGCGAAACGAATGACTAAGTAAAACAAAATCCTATATAGAACAGTCATGCCCAACATTATGAACACCTTCTCCCACTTCTTTGCTCCAGAAAGAGAGTGGGGTTTGCCATAATTGATGCGTAGACCTTCCAAGATGTCGAAACCAGTTATGCTGGTGCCATCGGTGTTGTTTCCGAACTTGTCGTTGGTTTGATATTGGTTGATAATAAGCCCTTCGTATGGATATGTCATGGTGGAGACATGGTTCATCCATTTCCAACCTTGGGGGATGTCATGGCTGTTCAAGAAGTAGCCACAGAACAAGAAGAAGAGGGCAGTGAAGGCAATGACTGCCGCGTAGCCCAAGATGTAATTAGGCACAACTGAGCTGACAAACACCACAAATGAATTAGTGGAGAGAAGAGAGACATAGAGAACCACCAAGAAGTATAGGAAGGGTCCTCTAAGCCCCAGAGCAAACCAAACAATGCCTGCGTAGACACTTGCTTGCAATGCAAGAAAGGGGAGGTATGTGATTAGGCCTGCAATTGTGTATGAGGAGGCTCTGTAGGCATTGTGGGCAGTCTCGCGGACGAAGATGAAGCGCTCTTGGATGAAGGCAGGTACAGCATCATTGGATGAGAAGAAGAAAAGGCAGACAGTGAAGATGAAGAAACTGAGGCGATTAGTGATGCCTTGACTGCTTTGTGGTGGGTTTTTGAACATGGTGGCCATCAAGAATCCCATGAATGTGAGGACCACTAGTCTTGAGAGGAAGAGCTCTGGCGTGCGCCTGATGTTGATGAAGTTTCGCCTCATTAGGATCCAAGTCTCGGGGAAGAAGGAGTTGGCGAATTTGGGGCCAAGGTGGTGGTATGATTTGGTGTTTGGACCAATATCTGGGGTCAGGTAATCATTTTCATTCACCGTGTAGTCACTGCTGTGGGGTGTTGGTGTGCTTGGAAGAATCTCACTTGAATAGTTGTAGCCAGGGGATGCACTGCAAAAGAGTACCATGTCATTTTGTTTAATCATAAGAGCTCTGATATTATATGTTAGATGACCACTCATTTGAGTTATTGAAATTTTAGTACTTTCTTGAAGCACCGTGTTCATTGATTTTGGAGGACACAATTGGATGTCGAAACGGTTTCCGATTTTTCTAATTTTTTATAAGGATGATCTATGAATGAAGACCTAAAAAATAGATGATTTGGATCATTGAGAAAAAAATTGTATAGTACCCTAAAAGGTGTCCATCAATAAAAAGAGACTGTATATATATATATATATATATATAAATCTTTGGATTATGATTATTATTTACCTCATGGGGCTTTGCATCTTTTGGTCTGCGCGTTGCCTTGAAGGGGTAAAGCTGTGCAGTTTTTGCATTACTCCACTATGGGTAGGAGTCCATGACCTTGAATTAGTGTTATAAGGACTTCTCACACTGTGATCAAAATCATTGGCTATATGTGTGCTGGTTTGTAAAGGCAAGCGCTTTCCAGACCTTCCTTTGTCCTCATGGCCTTCACCATGATGCCCATGCCCACCATGGCGCGGTGGTGTGGGGGTTGGGAGAATAGTCGCAAATGAGACGTCCCCGTCAACTAAGAGAGGGGGTTTTATACCAGTACGTGCAAATTCGGCTAGTGCCTCGACCCCAAGTTCAGACTGATCATATTGCTGAATCACATCAATGAGGTACTCAATAGGACTCTCTTCCTTGTGTACTTTGCGCCCCATTCGACCAAGGTGGATGGCCACATCTTTTGGTGATCCTTGGTACATGAGCTGCCCTCGAGCTAGGATGATCAGATGGTCCAGAAGCAATTGAATTCTGGATGAGGGTTGGTGAATGGTGAGGATCACAGTGCTTCCAGAACGTGCAATGTGGTGTACCTTTTCAATGACACTATGAGCACTGGTGGAGTCTAGGCCGGAAGTTGGTTCGTCAAGGAAGAGGAGTGATGGTCCATGGATGATGTCCACACCAATCGAAACTCTGCGACGCTCTCCACCGGACACTCCTCGGGTTCCCTCATCACCTATGAAGGTGTTTCGAGCAGACTGCAAAAAACAGAATGAAAAAAAATAATATATCATATGTATTACTTTAGTAGATGAAAGTGGTCATTTGAAGGTAAAGAAATACATTCAAATTACATATGCGCAAAAATAATATATCATATGTATTACTTTAGTAGATGTAGAATTAAGGAAGAACTCTTAATCATGTTGATTCTTGACTGAACGGTATGTATGGCAAAAACACTTCACTTTGTAACATATATACAACAGTCTCACATAATGTTACACCGTTAGATTGCCAATTCGAACTATCAATATTCAAGCGGATTCTTGTTAAAATATGCCATCTAGATTGACATATAACAAGCCGGCAACAAAACATTACTAATATACATAGTTCATACAAATATATCCACATATATAGAACCAATATATACATGGATATAATATAAATCACTTACAGATAATCCAAGCTGTTGAATCAGCTTTTCGACTCGCTGCTTTTTATCAGTAACTGAAACTGGACCCAACCTCAAATCAGCAGCAAACATGAAAGTCTCATAAACTGTAAGAGCTGGAAACAGCCTATCATCCTGCATAATATAAGCCGAGGTCCTTTTAATCAAGCTTGGGTTCATTTCCTTGCCATCCATGGACACTTTGCCCTGAAGACTCCCACTTGCTATTCTCCCTGCCAATCCATCCAAGAAGGTAGACTTCCCAGCTCCACTAGGACCCATCACAGCTGTGATGCACCCTTTTGGTGCAAACCCTGTGATCTGGTGCAATAAGTCCACCTCATGCTTGAACCATTTCCCCTCCTCATTCTTGCTTTTCTTTGTCACGGTATACGTAAGGGCGGAAAATTCAAGCCCCCCTGTGAAATTCGCCGGCTTCCCTATGTCAATCACCGTGTCACGCCTACGATCATCGCTACGAGCCATACCAAAATATTAAAGTAACTAGTGATATGGGATGTTTGTCCCCGAAGTTGATGTGCGCATATAGAGGGAAAGGTTGGGGTACTTAAAAGTTTTTCCTTTTTTGTTTTCTTTTTATTCTGTTAGGGGTCTCCCAAGTTCAGGGTGATGAACAGAGGGGGAATTAAAAGAGGCAACTTGAACATAAAAGGCTCCTACAGCTGGTGTATGGCATATTAAGGAGTGAATTCCAAGGTTATGAGGAGGCTGTCCTCTTTGATAAATCCGTTTTTACTCAGTTTCAATCGAAAAGTTGGAAGAAAATGCATTCCTTGCTTTTCATCGTTTGGTTTTGGCGTTAGTGTTTGTAAAGTAATGCAAGTGTATGACAAAATTGTGCTTTGGTATTTTGTCGATGTGTATTTTAGAAGAGACTGTATTGTATGGTTAAATTCTCAAAGAAAACCAAACCATCTTCTTCCCAGCCTGCCGAATTAGAAATGATTTGAGAAGCAAGGGTCAAGGTGGCCATATTTTCCACATTTCTTTGGGCCGTACATATCAAAACACTTGAGAATTTTTACGGCTGTTCCAAATGTTTTTCAACTTTTACACCTACAGTTAATACTCATATGGCATGTTTACTAATTGTAATCGAAATCAAAATAAGGAGTTGGATTCTGATTACGGATTAATCCTGCGTTTACTTCATATCAAGGAAAGAAGATGTAAGTGGTGTCCACACAAAATCAGGAATTCAACTCCTGATTTTGGAGGAATTGGACTCTTCGGTGAGATGTGGTATTATGATTCCATGAGAACCATCCCATCAAGAATTCATATTTTTCTACCCATTGTATCCTCACCTACCTTGATTCCAGATAGTTTAGTAAACAACTTCAATAAAATCCGGATTATGACTCCTCCCCAAATTACGAATTAATAAACATGCCAATAATGTTGTGAATATGCCCAGAAGCTCTTACTATTTGTCATATCTATAAAGAAAAAGAAAATGATAACATTACCTTGAAAGAGATGTATTGTATTGTTAAAATACAAAGAAATAGCAACATTTGATTTTTTTTTTTTTTTTTTTTAATGCTTGAGGGGTTTTGAATATTACTCGAGAGAGATTCGAGCAACTACTTGAGAGGGTTCGAGTACCACTTCAGGGTCGATGCATTTTTCGAAGCAACTTGAGTGGTTCTATTTCTAAATTATGAAGAGAAAAAAAAGAATTAATGGTCTTCCTTTTTTGTCAAAATGATAAGATATTTAGAGCATCCACAATCACACTCCCTATTTCTTAGCTAAAAACACAAAAAAGCTATTATAGGAGCTCTCTAAAAAATTCCAACTTCAACCATACTCTCTAATTTGGAGAGTCATAAATGTTTTACTTCTTTTTATCGTAAATACTTCTTTTTAAATTTAATTCCCGATTTGCAATAAAATATTCATATTCAAATACTAAATATTCCAAAATAATAAACTACAATGATATTGTAAGTTTATTTGTTGTTCAATTTTGATATTCTATGGTTGATGTGGTTTGCAAAATACCTACAGGGGAAAAGAACTTAAAAAATATAAAAAGAAAAAAAGAAAAAAGAAGGTGTTCGTGTGCGGCAAATGTCTACAGTGAAATGAATCGGAAAAAAAATAATTATTTGTTTGTGCTTTGCAAAGCACCTACAGCTACGGCAAAAAGAATAGAACAGACAGTGTAGGTAGCTTGCAATAGAAAGTGATTACAAATATAAAATGTAGAAAGAAAAAAAAATTGATAAAATTAAAGATATCATTAAATAAATATTTAAAATAATAATAAAATATGGTAGCATTTAATTATAGGAAATCACTAGGAGTCCTTTCTCTCTCCTCAGATTTAGGAGCTCCTAGAGGTCTCCCTATTTTAAGAGCTGGATAGGGAGCATGATTGGAGGTGAGTTTTTCAATTCCTCCCCAAATTTTAGCTAAGGAAATGGTTTAAGGAACTCATTGTTGATGCTCTTATACAACTTTGTTTACAACGAGATAATTCGAACATAGATATGCCCATTACAATGGGAATGGATTAGCCACAACTAGGTTTCAAACTCACCAAAAATATGTATCCAATTCACTGCAAATACATATGGTTCATCCATTTATGTAACTTGAAATTGAAACCTCTTTAACGAGTGGAAACAAGACCAAAAGCTAATTATAGTTAAAAGTATGGGAGTTTCACTAAAACACCCAAAATGGAGGCTGAAATTTTAAAAAACCCAACACCCAAAATACTCTATAAACACACCCAAAACTAATCATTACACACACTCAAAACTCATTTATAAACACACCCAAAAAATATATAATTGTTGATTTGGGTGTGTTTCTATGTTTAAATAGTGTTTGAGTTTTTTTATAAATACATGTGTAGGATTGGGTTTATTTATAAATTTCTATAAAAGTATTTATCGTGTCAAAGAGTGTCCATATTTTCAAATTTTCCATTTTCCAATACACTATAGATTTTTATATTTTTCCTTTTAAGATTTATAGCTCCTCAAATAATTCTCTCACCCAAAAAAAAAAACCCAAAAAAACTCCTCAAATAATACTCAGAGCCTGCTCAAACAGTCAAAATGTCCAAGATTTTTTATTATTAATTCTTCAGAATATCCCTTTTGAGTAGGGGAAAACGTCCGGAAGAAAAGTATACCTTAGGAGAGGCCTTGTTAAATTCTTGTTGGGCCATCTACACAAAGAGAATGGGGGAAGGGGTGCAAATTATATCAAGCAGACAATGGGCTTGTTAACAAAACCTTTGAAAAGTGGTGAGTTATATGCATTGGGCTTGGGTTGAATGGGAAGATTTGGCAAATTTTCCGGGAGACCTGTCAAGCATAAAAATCTTTAAATGGGTAGATTTGGCAAATTGTCCATTCTCAGAAGGGTTTTACTTTAGTAATGGCTAAAGGCATGCTCAAGTCAAGCATATTCTTTAGTCTTTATTTCCAAGACTTGAGTTATGGATTTGTTATGTTAGGAAAGACGGCAAAAACTCAAAGAGCTAATAAATAAATATGGCACTCACAGAATATGACTTCTCCCAGCCTTGTGTAAATAAAATGGGCAAAATTAACACTCTATCTTTCACTAAGAAAAATAATTGGAATACAATAATAATCTCACAAAACACCGGTGGCTAAACTCTCTCTTTGTTTTTTGTTTTTCTCAAGAGGATTTTCTCTCTCATACAAGTGAGGCTTTCTTATCTCTCAAAATTGTCTAAGTTTTGGTTTTCTAAGGGATGCATTGAATTGAAAGAAGGCAACTGCTTTTATAGCCAACATTCCTAACTAATTGGTGGCTATGCATGAGGGAGAGTTTTTCTCATTTTCTCTTCCATTCGTTTTCTTCAAATTTTCCCATCCTTTCTTTAATTTTATTTTAATATTTATTTTCCTTCTTTTTCTCTCCTCCACTAACGAGGGAAACTCATCAATCTCCCCCTTCCGACTTAGGTAGAGGGCTCTAGCAGTCCAGCTGCTCTTCTGCAAAATTCGTACTTGTCCTTAGGTAAGGACTTGGTCATCATATCTGAACTATTGTCATCAGTATGGATTTTCTCAAGCTGTAATTGCTTAGACTCCAACACATCACATATCCAGTGATATCGCACATCAATGTGCTTCAACCTCGAGTGAAAACTTGGATTCTTGCTCAAGTGGATCGCACTCTGACTATCACAATGCAAAATGTATTTATGCTGCTCTTGCCCTAATTCTTGTAGGAATCGCTTCATCCAGAGCATTTCTTTGCACACTTCAGTAGTTGCAATAAACTTTGTCTCTGTAGTTGATAGAGCAACACATTTCTGTAACTTTAATTGCCATGAAACTGCTCATCCTAAAAATGTAATTAGGTATCCTGAAATAGATTTTTTGGAATCAAGATCTCCTGCCATGTCTGCATTTGTGAGCCAATCAATGCAGGTTTTCCACCTCCAAAGCACAAACTCATTTTGGAAGTACCCCTAAGATATCTGAGAATCCACTTCATAGCATTCCAATGTTCTCTACCTGGTTTAGATAGGAATCTGCTTACAACTCCAATTGCATGCGTTATGTCTGGCCTCGTGCAAATCATTGCATACATCAGGCAACCAACAGCTGAGGAATATGGCACCAAAGCCATGTTTTCTTTTTCTTTCTCATATGCAGGACTCTGCTTTGAACTAAGCTTGAAGTGACTAGGAAATAGAGTAGAAATTGGTTTTGCTTTATCCATGTTAAACCACTTTAGTACCTTCTTGATATAACTTTCTAGTGATAACCTCAACTTCCGATTTTTTCTATCACGGGATATACTCATACCGAGGATTCGTTTTGCGGGTCCTAAGTCTTTCATAGCAAAAGACTTGCTCAACTCTTTCTTCAGCTTGCTAATCTTGTCACTGTTTTGTCCTACGATCAACATGTCATCGACATAGAGAAGAAGTATGATGAATTCACCATCATCAAATCTTTTCACACATACACAATGGTCTGAAATAGTCCTCTGATATCTGTGTTCAATCATGAAGGAATCGAACTTCTTGTACCATTGTTGAGGTGCCTGCTTGAGTCCACATAAGCTCTTCTTCAGCCAACATACCAAATCTTCTTTTCCTTTGACTTTGAATCCTTCTGGCTACTCCATTTTGATTTCTTCTTCAAGATCTCCGTGAAGGAAAGCTGTCTTCACATCTAGCTGTTTGATCTCGAGATTCAGGCTTGCAACCAAACTGAGTACAACCCGTATGGATGACATCTTCACTACAGGTGAGAAAATCTCTTCAAAGTCAATTCCTTTCTTCTGACTGAAACCTTTCACAACTAGCCTTGCCTTAAACCTGGGCTTAGAGTTGCTTTCTTCCGTCTTCAGTCGATACACCCGTTTGTTCTTGAGTGCTCTTCTACCTTTTGGTAGGTTTACCAGATCATATGTGTGGTTCTCATGCAGAGATTGCATCTCTTCATGCATAGCTTTCA